AAAGACAGGGACCACAATGGTAGTATTATTGTTTATGTTTTGAGAGTGTCAGGTGGAAAGACTCACTGTGGTGCTTGAGGTGCACTCTCCATTGCCAATGTGAAGACCTATTTACGTGCATATTGAAGAAGCAGAGAAGAAATTTCCAGAGACACCATAATATGGATATATCGAGTGGTGGCAAACCCCACAGTTGTAGGTTGCCAAGAGAGGTTGTGGAATCTCATTCTCTGGAGGTCTTCAAAACCCGCTTGGATGCAGCCCTGTGCCACATGCTCTAGGAGATCCTGCGTGTGCAGGAGGGTTGGACTAGATGATCCCTAAAGGTCCCTTCCAATCTTAACGATGCTGTGATTCCACAGGGGGATCGTGGGAACATGAATGATTACAGCTCCTTCTTGCAAGGGACAGGAGTTAATATGACTCCCTTTGTTACCAATAGAATTACCTACTGCCAAAAAGATAATTCCACCTCCTCATCATTAGCAAGTGAACAGCTCTTTGGGCAATACTTGCTTGTGGTCTCTGTTGACCATAAAGGGAGCCTAAGGTGACTAGATGAGATTGAGGTATCTAACTTCTGGTAGGGCAGATACAGCCCCTAGATGTCTGCAGAACTGTCAGTCCATTCTGCTGTGATTCATAGAAGCAAAGAAGTTTTCCTCCTTTCACATCAGATGAAGATATAATGAGATAATGGAAATGCTGCCCATCATTATGGTGCCCTAAAATTTGAATCATAATTAAGGATTAAGGAGCAAAGTTTTAGCACCAAAACCGCAGACTGATCACTGAAATGATGTAGAAGGCACTTGAAAGGGGCAGGATAATGCAGTTGCAGCAGTCCCATTGTGCTCTTCATGTTTGCTTTATCCTTAACACGACGGATCCAGAATGGCACAATTCATCAAGAGATGTTGGAGACAGGGATTTTTGGTGGCTACAGTTTCTTCCAGGAGAAAATGCTACCACCTTTTAGCAATATGAAGATAAGAAAAGACACCTTTCTTATTTGTGATTTTATCATAAAATTGGCTTGCCTTTCTGTCTGTGTGACCTCATGTTACTGTCTCCCATTGTCTTTTCAACTAACTGGACAATTTCAAAGAGATTTTAACAGAAAGGCAGAGGTCTCAGAAAAAAAAAAAGTTCTATACAAGTCTTTGGTCATGTAAGGACACTCAGGTGGTCCTTACGAGTGATGCATCCTATTGTCGTGCAGAAGGAAGCTCTGCATACACAGTTCAGCAGTCTCAGCAGGTGAGGAGCTGCAGTGTGCTGGATGATGAGGATGTGTGTAGCCGGATGATGAGGATGTGTGTAGCCTACAAGAGCTCTATGTTTCTTGCTCAGTGAGTAGACTTTAGAAAGCCTATGTTTTTTGAAAGGGAACAAAGGGTCCTACAGAGACAAACTGAAATATTACAGAAGGAAGGTGTGCAGAAAAGTGCAGAAAAGTAGGTACTGTAGTGGCAAAATATGAGTGGGTAAGAATAAGGATTGTAGGATTATAAGCAAGCAGGAACACAGGCTTCTTAGCAGCTATGCAACCTGTTTATCAAAGGCTCTGTGATGAGTGCTGGGAAGTCTGAGTCTTTAAATGGCAGGCAGAGACTTTTATCAGGAAGATAGACTCAGCTGCACCCAGATTGCTCATTCTAACCTTCCTCATCCTAGCTACCACCCTGTAGCCAGCATATGGCACAGGAGTCACATGTGACTGGCTCCTAGTTCTTGCTGAACGAATGAGGGGGAGAATCAGGTCCTGGTAATGATGCAAACTCATTTTCAAGTGAATTTCAAAAGTTTAAGGATAGTCCATAGACAATATGTCTTTCTGAATTCTGTGGTAAAAGAAATGAGCAAATAATTCAAAGCAAATTTTCACACAATCTCCTCCATAGCGGCATTATTTCCTAGATAAAATAGTCTTGAAACAAAGCTTAACTCCATAAATAATGGCATATGTATAAAGAACTGAATTAACTACACTAACATTGCGTTTTCCAACACATATTAATGGGTTTGTATAAACATTGGAAGAAGAGGCTCAATGCATTTATGTATTTAAATATACTTGCAAAATGAATCTAAGAGAGTGCACAACTGATTGACAGAAGATATGAAAGGCATCAGTTGCCTAAATAGACGTATGTGCTATCTGATCCAATATCGACGTATGTGTGTGATTTTATTTATACAGATTATTTATTTAATATACATCAGAATTATTAAAATGACAGAAAATAGTTCCTCTACAAATTCTGGGCATTGCCTTTCTGTACTAAGTATTTATACATCATATACAGATAATCTCCCTTGTTACTTTAGACCCGTCCTCATCACTACTGTAAATTCAGTTCCTTCTACATTCCCAAATATGCAAAGCACAGAGCCTAGCTCATAATATAAGCCACCTTTTATCAATTACCCATTATCAATAATAGTACAAGACTTTTTTCCTACCATAAGCTGCATCCCTATCTATTCTCCCCACTCCAAATGTTCGCAGTGATGGCTTATATCTGTTCATGAATATATTGCCTCTGCATATGTATTCTGCTCATGGTCTTTGCCGAGACAGCCTGCACAGATACCAGCTAGAGCTTGTTCTGACAGGGTTTTTTGATGATATAGAGGTCTATGATCCACTGTTTCAGAAAGCAGAAGTTGTCTAGAGTATGAAATGACAACACTGGAAACTACTTCAAAAGAAAAAAAAAAGGGTCTTTTTTGATGCAGAATTCTGAATGTGTTTCATAAATCCATGATGAAGAGGAGGTTACTACCTCTACTGAGGTAGTAACACAGCCCTTAATGATGTCAATGGGGCAAGCAATTAGATCCTGTGAACTTCAGTTAATGGCACTACAATGCTAAGGTCAAACACTGGTTTCGTAGGACATATAGCAGTGGAATATCAAAGAAATGGACTCCTGCAGGTTTGTGATGAATGTCATGGGATGGAGTCAGGGAGGATGGTAGAACTCCATGGAGAGTTGGATCCAAAATTACTACTTGAGTCCTTGGGGTTGGAAATTACCTTGCTCAGTTTAGGAAATGGAAAAATAGGTATTTAATCAAAATGATGCGAGGTATTTTTTGTTGGTCACAGTGATAAAAATTGTTATTAAGGTATTAAGGTATACCTACCTTAAACTAGCTTGAATTGAAATTAATTCAGGGTGGAATGTCTCTCCATTAGCTATGGGGGAGCCTAAACTTAGTTTTTAAGGAACTACAGCTACGTCAGATAAGCATAATCTAATGGGAATTTATATTAAAATTGTTGGGAGCTGGATACCTTAGATCTGGAAATTTTATCTAACATCAGTTGTCACTGTAGATATCGAATCATACGTGAAAATCTAGCTCTGAGTTCCTGTGCTTTTGTTTTTACTTCTTTCTTTAAAATATTTGGTTTTACAGATGGGATTAAATTGCAGTGTTTGAAAGATAATTAAAATTTATGAACAGCTATGAAAAAGTTATGGACCATAGTCTTAAAAGAGGGGGCTACATTTTATACTTCTGCTTTTGTGCTTGCAACATGTAAGTTCATTTAGGAGGCCACAAACAGTGTCAGTTTATAAGTAGCCGGGTCAGTTATCTGCGGATACCCTGTCACTCACTCCAAACATGGACTTGAAGCTGAAGTTGAAAAATAAACTCGAAAATGAAGTCAAAAAGAAACTTTTAAAAAAAGAAAAAAAAAAAGAAATCTAATATCAGCAGTGGCAGAAAATAGCTGAGCACTACTTCTAAAAAATATCACTGTTTGAGGCTATATTGTTAATTGTTCGGTATTAAAAGTGTGCTTAGCACCTAACAAACAGCTAATGTAGGTGCACTCTCCTGTAGCTAACACAAAAGTTACAGACTTCAGCTTCAGCCGTAAGGAATTTAAGAAACATCATTTTTAGCAAGGACTGTGAGCAGGACATCCACTCTTTCCTGGTGGCTTTCATCCAGGAGTTACTTAGCCAGTCTTTGTCTTTCTCACTGCAGGTCCTTAGTGCAAGCAACCGGACCATGCGAGCCACTTTCTTTCCCATGGAAAAACACTACTCTTATATGCCAGCACAGTGGTAAAAGTGCTGGTACCCTTAGTTTTAAAAGATCTTGGCTAAACTTAAAAAATGTAGTCTTGGCTAAACTTAAAAAAAAATGTAGGTCAAAACAGCATAAGACATATATGGCATTTCTATTTATTTAAGGTAAATGCCAGAGCATTGGTGACATTTGAGCCCAAGGCCACAGTGAAGGTGCATGAGGCAAAGGTGCCAGTTATCTGGGCTGTCACCCACCCTGGGGGACTGCTGCGACGCTGCTGTATTCATGATAGGTGAGGGAAATGCCAGCCTGACTTAAAAGGCAAAACAATGTAAACACTGAATATGAGGAAAAAAAATGTGCAGCAAAACTCACATCCTGAGAATCTTGGTCCTAAGTGGATGACTTGTTTATCCCGCCAGACAAACCTGGCTCCACAGTGAAGCAAGCCAAAGAATGTCTCCTTTATTGTTTCCATGATGCTTAGTCATCTACAAGCCATTCCCCTTTTAGATTATTCTATTTTTAAGGCATAATTTCCATCTGTTCTTTGATCTTATACCACATAAGACATTTAGCTAATAACATCATCCATCAAATACCAACTTTCCTTCGGAGTTCAAACACAATCGACACAGGACTCCGTCCATCTGCTGGCCAGTGCCTGTGAACAGATCCAGCTTGTGAATGACCAGATATGTAGCCTATTTTTTAATTAACTAGATAAGGTCTGCTCTTACTGGCGGAGGGTTCACTTAACACAGCAGGACTACTAGGGGGCAGTCTAAAGTGAAGTGAAATGTGTTGCCAATCTGGAAGAGAAGAAAATACTTTTGTGGATACACAACTGTGCATAATCAAATACATTTGAGATGCACTTGTTATATCCTTTTTTTTTCTTTTTTTTTTTTCCAGTGGATTCAGCCTGTTAGTGATTTAGATTTTGTGTGAAGGAGAGATTATCTATATAAATGGATTGGATGATAATCATTTTCAAACTTGGCATTCTTCAGAGAAAACTGGATAAAAACAAAAAGATAATATTTGCTTGAAATCTCAAATAACCTGGATTCTGTGAGTATATAAGCATGGTATTATTTGAAGGATCTGATTTTTAGATTTGCACACAAAAGTATCTGTATGGAAAATGCTTATCCAATTGGGGAGCTGGGGAACCTCAGGTGATTCAGGTGACCAACTATAATAAAGCAGCACAGCTTGAATTTAGGATGTTGGAGATCAATCACACTTAAAAAAATGCTAAGAAAAACTTGTCTGAAAAAATAGACTAAGAAGTAAGTCGAGGGAAAAGCCAGTTTCTCTATGGAATCTCTATATATCACATTTTAAAAATCATTACTTTCAGATTATTCACTTAGCTCTAATTACCTTGCTTCCCAGTGGATTTCTTTATCTTACACACAGTGCATTTATTTACAAAGGAATTTTATTCAGGACATGTATTCCACTGGCTTAGATATGCCATAGCATATATATCTCCAGATCTGAAGCAATAACAACAACAAAAAAAAGCCTACATTTCCTTCTATTTCCTGGCTTGCCAGTAATAAGAAGTCCCCGCAGGAGGGGAGCTTGACTGGTGGCGTTTTGTGATTTCTCAGATAACAAGAGCTTCACATTTCTGTGGAATTCCCATTTGCCAGCGAGCTGCTGCTGCCGCTGCCCTGATTGATATATGACTGCAATGGCACTTTTCCATTTGACATTCTCTCTCCCTCTCTCTCCCGCTCCCTCTCTCTCTCTCTTAAACAACAGCCCTAACTTTTGTGTGTTGCAAATATAAAAGGCAAGCCATGTGACAGAAGGACAGAAGAACAAAAGCATTTGGAAGTAACAGGACCTCTTTTTAGCTCTCTGAAGAGTTTCAGTGAAGGAAGGAGCAGTGCGTTTTCCAAAGGTAAGTGCATAAATAAGAGATTCCTCTGCATTTTGAGCATTACGTGGGCTTAAACTGAGCACGTAGTCTATTTATCTGACAAACACATGTGCTCTCTGTATCATTTTTTAAAATTAAAATGTCTTATTGTAGAATCAAACCCAGTTCCGGTACCTGCGTCTCCCTCTTATGCTTGTATCTTTCATTATACATTCCTTCGGAAGGATGTCTGTGTGTGAAAACAAATACGAAGTGCAGTGTGGTGGTAAATGACGTGGTTAAACACCTATTTTTGTGGATATGCTGAGCTTGTGTTTGCAGCTTTGCACTGCTTCTATTTGTGTGACTTTGGAGTGAATGGAAGTGCTGGATTCTGTCCTGAATTCATAGAAAGAATGTGAGTGTCGCCAGGACTGTCTTTGTCCCACTACAATAGGGCTCTATGAACACAGGCAAGCCTGCTAGTTTAAAATTGAACTGTTTACTTTTATTACTACTTATGTATGCTGTTTTCTTGCCAGTCATCTGCTGGAGTGCTTAGAATAATTTGAAACAATAGGCAATATTTATTTCTAGCTTTGTGTGTCATGCTTCACAAGAGCACTTTTAATTTGCACATTATTATTTATCCAAACTCCTGGGAAGCTTTCCTATGGACTGGACAGCACTGTGGATTAGGATAGATTTAATGTATGTCCTTGATTGGTTAAAAACCTAAAGGAAAGCCACAGTGTTTGCTTTTCCTGTAATGCTGAGGAGTATATTTAGTAGGTAGCCTATCCCTTCAGTGCTGCATATACTCAGTGTAGATATGAATTTGGGAGCTCACGCGGAGGGATGCTGCTCAAGACTGTCTGCTGAAGGAGACAGGGAGCCTTTCAGTGTCCTTAAATCCTTCTTCGCCAGGAGGACATTTCCCTGTGTATCAGGGGAAGAGGCACGAGCGTTAACTATTCTGTGTGTCATCGGGACAAAGAGGAGTTTCCCCGTTACGAATCAAGAGATAACGTATCAGAGCATAATGTAAGTGCAATTCACTGGAACGGATGCAGCCCTGGGAAAAAAACAGATGAGGAGGAAAGCCGCATCAGTCAGGTGAGTAAATTTGTCCTTATGTAAGATTAAATTGGGGAGTTCAGTAGCAAGAATCAGAGTAACAACGATGAATTGTCTGGACAGTAGTCTTAGTTATGTTTGCATTATGGTAATGAAATGATGTGGTATCAGACTCCCACAGAAGATGTGCTGAGGGGTAATTCTAATGGGGCAAATCTGACTTTGAAGGACTGATTCTTTCAAGGGCTGACTCTGGTGGCACTGGCACACAGATTTCTTACCTTGTCCTTCAAGTTGATTTCAGCTTCTCCCACAGTCTGCCTATAGCGTGTCTGAATTGTTTGTACCTGAGAGAGATGGCATGACAAGAAACTTGTAACGTTTTGAACAAGTAACTTTTTGAAGGAAAAAAGTATTTTATAAGTGCTGAGTATTAATAATAGTTTCTAAGTCTTTGTAACTGTTCTAGTGGCTAAGAGGTGGGAAAATTGCATGTTGGAAATAAAACAAGAGATTATTTTTAGAACAGCAATGAGTATAAGTTCATTTTGAAACAGTTCTGCACTGTGAAATTAGTTCCTAATGGAAGCAGCCCAGATGCCTGGGGTCAATAAATGCTGTGGGGCTAATAATTGTCAATATAATCACAATGCTGTTATTTGTCCTTCCTCAGAAGAATGACTACTTTTTAGGACTTTAGAATGACTACTTTTTAGGACTTTTTTTTTTGAATTGTTGATGACGATCATGTTTGTCCAGGCTGTGAGAGTTTACCCATGTTTGTGTGCAGTTATGCACATGAATAATTCCCTTGACTTAAATAGAACTATTTAGTGAGTAATTGCTTACTAGCTTCAATCAGGGATTGCCAGTGTGACTTATGCGTTGGCATACTCTTGCTGGAATAATAAAATCTTATTTGCAATACAAATACTAGGAAAAGATGCTTCAAGATTTTCCCATTAAAAGAAAATAAGGATGAAATAGAAGAGGTTGCTTCAAATTTAGAAAATGAAAAGTAACTTGCTTTAGTTAATAGACATAGTTAGAGGATGTAGCTAATTATTATAAATATAAGCTCAGATCACTGCGTGAAGGTGATTCTCTGCACTGGTGCAGCACCAAAGCAGATTCCTGCTTTCAGAGCAGCATATCAACCTGGGGTAGCCATGCACTGTTTGCCTTGAGAGCTGCAGTGCACTCTCTGAGCGTGGCCCTGTAACAGCCATCTGCCCTACCAGAACAGTCCCAACTTCTGAAGCCACCTGAATGTTCTCGCCAGTTTTATTTACCAAGATTGTAGTTTCTTTTGCCCTGAAGGGGGGGAAGTGAGACACCACCATGCTACATCACATCGGTGTCCTCAGTGAACCACTAGACAGGGAGTACTTGTGGAGTCATCTTCATTGCCTCTTTCCTCTGGAAAGAGTCCCACCATGGAGTCCCACCATATTTCTTCCCTAATTTGTCTGCTCTCAGATGAGCTAGGAAGTGCTCTGGGTTGTTCTTGGACCAAGGAGCTGAATGCCGACAGTGCAGCGACAGGATAAAGCCACCAAGACGTCTGATTTTGGAAAAAAAAGTGTGGTGAAATGTTTATTTAATCGAAATAAGTAGAAAAAAAATACCCTCTTTTAAAAACACTACAGTTGTTTCAAATGTCACGACTATATGGATTGTCGTATTACAAATATCACAAAATTCTCTGCCTCTAATGCACTGAGAGTTATCAGAAGAGATCTGTCTCTATGTGTTTTAGAAAAGTTTTGCTACATGAGAACATGCCACAGTCCTATATATTTGAGTAACTCGCCTCTGAGCGTGGCTGGAAGTGGTCACATAAAAGACAGATAGAGAAACCCTATGGTAGGAAGCTATTGGGGTAACTTGCTGTCATGAGGGATTTTTCCCTAACCCCATCAATTAAACTCTCAGAGTGTTTGCAGTTTATTACCTTTCTAAAACCCTTTAAAAATAGCCCTCCTTACTATTGTAACCCTCACATATGTAGCCAGTCCTTTCACTGAGCCCGCTCAACTTTTGCCCTCATGATATCTTGTTCCATTGGATCATTGTCGGTTGTGTAAACACATGTTTCTTCTCATCAGTGCTATATGTGCACCCTCTCAGTTCCCCTGCCCTTCTCTAAATGCTGGTATCTGGGGATGAGGTGAGTAGCTGTGTCCTGTTCACCTCACTTAACAGGCCTTTCCTCAAAACTCAGCTTCATCCCAAGAGAAAAGTGTGGCCTCTGTCAATTAGCTCATTTGCCAGAGTGTCTTTGGCCAAAATCACCCCGCATTGCCCACGGATTTGTGCATGCGTACGAAGGGATGCTGACTATGATCAGCTGTTATTTCCTTTTTATATGTGTCAGTGTGGAACATATTAAAATTTCTCAGTAGTGGTATGTTTGGAATCCCTCTGATGCCCCACCTCTAACTTAGCAGAACAATAAAAGCAAGGTTGTAGTAAGCCTTTGAGCAGCTGGCAGTCTATATATTCCTTCTTTTTTCACATAATCTAATTCAGACTATTATCCGGGTAACAGTGGCACTACCACTTGGAGACACCATCAGTGCTTGTCCTATTTACTGGAATTTCATTGTGTCGTGCAGAGATCCTTTCTACCACCAACAAGTGTAGTCTTTCTTCTGGTATCACAGTATTTGGCTGCTGATGCCATGGAGACACAGCTCTGAGGAATTCCACAGCATTGTTATTTTCCAACTAGTCTTTGTTATTTTTTGATTTGCATCAATCATTGTTACGGTTTATGCTTGTCACATTTTCATGCTTATTATTACTGAGCTGCAAACTGTGTCAGTATGGCAATGAGGAGGCAACACAGGTTATGTTGCCTTTTAAGACATGTGAGTTTAGGATCAGAGTTAATGCCTCAGCTCTGGTTTGGCAAAGGTTAAGCATACCATGGCAGTGACAATCACATTACTGTCATAGCAGCACAGCACAAAGAGAGCGAGACCTAGGGGAGCACTGTTTCCCTTGTTAGAAGATACAAAATTATTATCATGAGCCAAATGGTCAGGTCTGTAATTATCAGAGGCAGAAGTGCATGGACACTGCTCTGAATTTTGACTGTGTAAAAGGCAAGAGAGAATTTCACCCCTAGGGTTAGAAAAGAGGCAACATGCCCTGAAGTCATGTGCTCTCACCAGCCTGTGTAGCCTTCTCCACTGGTGCTGGTGGAAGGGATGTCTTTGCCTAATACTTAAGGGTAAGAGGCTCATCCCCAGTCCTACAGCTAATGATAACTACAGCTACTTGTGTTACAGCAACCTCCAACTGTGAGGCATGCAATGTAATAAGGGACAGAGAATGAAAAATGCCCACCTTTTTGTAAGGCACTCCAGTAGGTGTGCCTTACAGGACATAGGCTCTAATGCCCTAGACTGCTCAGCCACTTGCAATTTGGCCAAGAGTAATTTTGACCTATGTTGGGTCATAAGACTAAAGTAGAGGTAATTACTGAAGCAAATCCTAAAGTTAATGCTTGCCAGGGAATATTAGCACTTTATCTGGCAGCTACCACCTTGTTGATTTAATGCCTGAGGGAGAGAGGCAACGTCATTACTTAAAATGCTCAGCTGTGCAGATCGATTCTTCACTGGGAGTTGATGCCATCCAGCAAATTTGGATTAAAAAAACCCCAAACAGTATTCCTGTCAATTCCTGTCCCATACTCAAATTAGGACTACTCTGAAACTTAGTAAAACACAAAAATAAAGACAGACTCCAAAGTTCTCCTCATATCTTCAGTGGCTTGAGGGTTCATAACAAAACTCTACCAGATCCTGGTTTCATCTGAGTAAGATCCTATATATGCCTCTAATGGATCTATTTAAAGTTTCCAGGAACTGGGAAAAATAAAGAATAAAAATATAACCCTTTTTTGTCCATCAATAGTTATTCTTTGCATAGTTATACAATAGTTATACACTTTGCACACTGGTTCTCAGTCTTGTGAGACTCGTGAACTTACATGAGCAACCATGGTAAAGTCAAGGCTCATCCCATGCCTGCACGCAAGTTTGCAGACAGCATTGGAGACTTGTATTACATTTGCTGCAATTGCTGTTCATGTTTTGCTTTGCATATCACTGTCTTTCTGTTTTGGTTTTTTTTTTTCAGTCTGTTTGCAGGCTCAAATATTTACCTCCTGATACATTAAAACATTAGAAAAACCTCAGAGCAGTAAATGATGTGCATGAGTTTCTCAGAATGACCAAAAGAGTGTCTGACATTTCTGATTACTCAGAGGCTGTTCCCATTTTCTCATCTCAGTTTTTAAGGCACAACACCATGCAGTTTTCAGCTAGTTGTAAGACTAGCTATAAGACCTTGGCAGGACTAGAAGATGTACTCCTTTGTGGAAACTCAGAGGCTTAAGCCCTTTCCTTTGGGTCTTGTTTCCTTTCCTCTGCCTATTCTCTTGCCTGCTCCTGTTGCCCAGAAGTTATCACTAAATCTGGCCTGGGGTGAGCTGCTTAGCCATTCTCTCTTGCCCCTTACATCCTCACACTTCTTTCATGCTGTGGCTGAAAAAATCCATGTGGTGGGTCAGTGTGGATAAAGCTCATGGCCTGGTTTCCCTCTAGGCCTGCTTTCCATGTGAGTGCGGTCACCCCGTCCCACGACAACCACCCGGCCTCTGCTGGGGCTGTTCAGGGCAATTCCCCTGACCAAAACCAGCTGGGCAGGCAGAGGGCTGCCCTTGGGCTGGTGACAGGTCACCTTCAAACTGTGAAGCTGTGGAGCAATGGTGTGGGAGAGCAGAGAGCAATAGTGTAGGTTTCAGGGCAGGGCAGAGGAGCACAGCCAGATCCAATTCAGTGTTACTTGGTGGGTCAGTTGCCCAAGGGGACCACAGCAGGGTGCAAGTTACTTGCACACCCTCAGCAAAGCACAGTGAGAACAAAAACAGCCTCTCCCTGTCCCCCAGCCCTCACTGGGCACATGCTGGCCCACGATCTGGTGGCTGGATTCAGACACATCCCCTATAATAGGTGATAAAATTC